CTGCTCTTTCCTAGTTCATGAGACTGTTCTGGGGACTAAGTGAGGTAAAATATGTGGAGCTTATAGCAAAAGTCTGGCAAATGTAATCACCATGTCAGTTCGCCCTTCTGAGTCATAGAGCTATATACCCCAACTTCATCCCTCCTCTTGAAAAGAAGATAAAAACCACAACAAAAGCTCTAAGGAGGAAGCTGCCTCCTTCACTTAGAGGGATCAGAGCTCAAATGGTAGCAGCTGGAAATGTGAATTTTAGTTAGTTTCACACCAACAACTTATACCCAAAGAGTATAAGGCTGTGATCCAAATAAGGCTGCCTGGAAGTTAGTAATTCACTCTCTAATTAGTAAGAGATTTCCATTTCTATTATGCCCTGATGGGAACATTGGAACTCACTCAGGGACTCCCTGCCTCCTTTCCTTGTGTCCATCATGAATAGCCTCATCAAGCTGAGCAGTAACACGAGGGACACTGTGGTCCACCAGAGCCACCAGGTTGCACAGGATGGATGCAAAGGAGAGTGAACTGGTAGCACTTCCCCATAGCAGAGCTTCAGGTTTGGACAAACCTGATTCAGATTCTTGCTGTCACTGAGTAGCTGTGTGAGCATGACCAATTACTTTACCTCTCTGTTCCTCAGATTCCTTTTTTATAAAATGGAGAAGAAGGAAAGGGGGGGTACAAAACAAAGCACCACCTACCCTGTAATACAATTTGTAATGTAATGCTGTGGCATTAGCAATAACCACATGTGGAAGGGTCTAGCTTAACACCAGGCCTGGCACATTCTAGGTGCTCCAGAAATTGTCATAATCCAACACCCATTAGAATATTGGGAAAATCACACATCTTCTAAAGTTTCAGAACCACTCAGTCTGACCAGTGGGTTGTGTCCCTTTTTCTGACTGATGCCTCTTCTCTGCCTAAGATTGTGTCCCTTTTTCTGACTGATGCCTCTTCTCTGCAACCCTACCCTTAGTATTTTTCTCTTTCTTCTTCCCCTCTTTCCCCTCCTCTCCTCTCTCATCCCATTCCCTTCCCTTCCCTTCTTTCTTTTCCCCTTTCTTTTTTTCCAGTCTGAAGCTTCCTTACTTTTCTCATGTGGTCCACAACAGTTTGGCTTTTTGAGCCATCAACAATGCATGAGATTGTGCCTATGTCACTTCAAACTACCACAGACTACCTACCTGGTGTTATTGCTGGGTTTCTATGCTGTTCCTTTTTTCTTGGGGATATGGAAGCTTCCAGAGACAGGCCTTCTGGATGCTTAAAGATTCTCCCCTGGATGATGTGCCATCACAAGCCAGAGGCCCAGGCTGCAGCTCCGGCTCTCCCAGCCTTATCCACCTTGGGCAGACTCCTCTGGACCCTACATGCTGAGAACCAGCCTTTAGCAAAGTTTGGAGGGAAGAGGGCCTAGCAGTTCAGTCCTAGCAGGCAATATTCGGTCTGTTGCCTCTCAGCCTTCACACCTCCTCATTTACAAATTCACCTCAGAAAGATCTGTGTGCTGCCAGGAAGGACAGAGCTTCCAGGCCAAGTTCTCTGGAACCTGAGCCATGGTCTCCTGCACTTTCCTGGACCTCCTTCCCCATTCCCTGCCCCATCCTCCTCACTCCCAGCCTGTGACAGCCTGCTGCTTCTCCTCACTTCTCTTAATATATGCATAGCCACAGTTTGGTTTTCTAAAAGCTTCCAACTTGCCAGCAGATAAGTCAAAGCATGTTTCTGTACTAATGCATAAGAACAGGAAAAAGGCCCAAGAAGAATGTTTGCAATACCCATGGAAAGAGAGTTCTGTCTTTTGTGTATAAGGAGTTCAAGTAAATCAGTAAGAAAAACATTAGCCGTCTTTCTGAATGAGGAAACAACATGAATAAAACATGCATCTAAAAGAACATGCAATTTACAAATAAGCATATTACAGTATATTCAACATTACTGGTAATCAAGAAAATGTAAACTCAAATAACTTCAAATGTTTTGTCATCTACATAATTATTATTGATTTAAAATCTAAGGCTTAATTCTGGCAAGAAGCTCTGAGATGCACACTGGTACATCTCATCATTGATTGTTGAGTATATAAATTTCTGCAGGTACAACCTATGAATATACCCAAGTTTGGAACACACTCTAAACCTTTGACCCAATAATTCCATTGTTGGAGCACAAGCTAAGAAAAAAATATGAAATGCAGATATTTATGTTCAGATGGTTTATTATAACACTATTTAGCAAAGAAAAGGAAACAACTCAGCAATTAAACCATATTAAAGAGCTTTTATACTTTCATTTGGAAAAGTGGTTGTGATATAACATTTGGTAGCAAAGACTGTGCACTCAAAATCACACATTTTGTAAAAGCTCAATTTATGAAGCAAATGTCCAAAATGCATAAAACATCTTGACATAAACATACCTTAATGTGCTAGAAATTACAAGCAATTTGGGTTTTTTTCTCTCCACTCAATATTTTTACACAAAGAGCATCTATTACTTTGATAAAGGGCAAATATTTTAGAGAATCCAAATAAAATGTGCCCACCTCAGGCTGTAAGAGCTCACAGCCAAAAGACAAAAAGGCCCCTCCCAATAAGGGGCAGCACTGAGTATGACAGTTTTCAGTGGGGACAAGGAAAGATGGGATCATCTCCCAAAGGCAGCTCCTGCCCTGTAGTGCTGGAAAGGAGGAAACAGTTCACCTCAGACTCCATCACACCCTCTTACCCCTTGGAGGGCTCAGCAGCTTATATCAGCAGAATCCTATGCACACCACAGAGCTTGCCAGTGCTGAGTCTCAATCCTAACTGCACAGCCCAACCTCAGTTTCCTGCCCTTTAAAAATGGGTCTTAACAACACCCCTTTGGAAGGTATTTTTTATGGAAGTTAAATAAGAACTGTTTTATTGTTAGAAGATATAGCTGGGTTCTTTCTACTCTGTTATAAATATGCAACAAACTGATGCACTAGTAATACATTTCTATGACTTGTGTCAGAGAAATATAATTTAATTTTTACATAATTATTTTATCTTCTTAAAATAGTCCTCATTTCTGTAAAATTAGACACTTCCATGGTTAAATTTTCTAAAATATATCAAGCATTTCCCTGCTAGCTAAACAACTACTCATTAAACATCATTTACCTTCATTTCAGAATGGCCTGAGGTTCTTACTATAAACCAAGAGTGCCCCAAGGAAGAAGGGGACCCGTATCATAATATCAGTAACTTTAATGTGCTAGATAAGACATTGCATTATCCCATTAACTATTCACTATATAGTATTACTCACCACAACCTAACTTTGCAGATTGTTCCAATTTGACAAATGAGAAAATTGAGGCTTAGGGAAGTTAAGTAAAATGCTGAAGGTTACCCAGCTATAAGACAGTGAAGACACAAACCCAGATGGAACCCCAAAGCCTTTACTCCTTGACTGTCTTGGTGCCATCACACCCTCCACTCATGGCTGGGGCCCAGATGCTTTGGTGGTATAGCAAATGCCACTCTGCTCTTATATCTGACCTTTATAGTTCATCAAACTTTATACCTTGGTTGTGTAGTTAGTTGACTTGGTTTTTGGCTTCTGCTGTCTAAGGAATCCTTATAATGTTTTAGTGCCATTAACCTAAACGAGCAAATGTCTTATGATTGTGTCTAAAAGACATTGAGCTGTAAGTGAGCCTCTGAGAAGTCTACCCACAGTAAGTTGTGATGACATGGGGACTTGCTCTTGGTCATCTGGTGGGTCTTGGCTTCTTTCTAGCTCTTCAGCTGCAATCCAGATACCTGAAGTTTTTTAATTTATGAACTCTGACACAGAGGATACTGTTATCCAACACAGACTTAGATGTATGACAAAACAATATATTAAACTACTGCAGTAATCATTGCTAGCTTCTATAAAATGCCTTTTCTACCCTACTGTTATTTTAGAGACATTACTCTGTAAAACTCTGGAATGTAAGTGTTCTTGTCTCCATGTGATAGATGAGGAAATCAAGACTCCTCTATATGCAAATCAAGTGTCCAAACCTCACCAGAGGCATTCTGCAAATAGTTCACTTGAAGTCAACATGTACATGGTCAGCATGTAAGTTTCACTAAAGATTCATAAACAATGTGAGGTTTTCCATTATAGAACTAAAGAACATTATGAATACATTCCCACTGTATCGGACAGGAGAAAACCTCACATTATGGACGGTGTCCGCAGTCCTACTAAAGATGCCTGGGGTCGGCCAAACCCAGGTGAAGATGGGCAGGTTATCTGTACTGCACACCTCCAGGGGGCAGCCTCCTACTGTGTTCAACAGGGATGGTACTCCCACAGGCATATACATTGTACAGACAGCTGGAAAGCTGCCCCAGGATTGCAGAAGGGGGTTGGGGGTGTTCACAGCAATGCACTGAGAGCTGTTGGATAAACCACAATGGAAGTTTCCACAGGAAGATCAGGAATCAGAAGTAGGAAGTACATACAGGGTGTCTCCTGGGGCTGAGATTTAATATAAGGGTGACATAATCTAAGCCCCCCTTCCTTTCTTTGAGGGCAGAAGAATATACTACTACATTTAACACTACATTTTTTGTGGGGGATGTGGGTAGACTCCATTAAACAAATGAGTGTGTCAAAATCCAAATAGTGTTTCATATCTAAGTAAAGTGAATTCTCCACAAACTTTCACTCTGACTGGAAGCCTCAGACAAAAGTGATCCAAATAAAGCATATGGCCTTTGTCCAGCAATCCTTTTTTTCTAAGAATATTTCCCAAACATTAGCCTGTGAATTGGGACAGAGCCCCTGAAGGGCCAGCGGGGCAGGAATTCTTCTCGGCCACAAATACTCTCAGCTGTGAGAGGCCACACCATTTGAGTAACGGAGCAACCAGCTAAAATTCAAGCACGGGTCTGTCCCTCCTTGGTCACCGTCCCAGACACTGTCCGGGTAGGCCGTTGTGTCACATCCGGGAGTTTTTCAGTCCACACGGGGGAATTCTCAACTACAACCTCTGTATCTGGTAGCTGCAGACTGGTAGGGCACAGAAACAGAAAAATGTGACTTTTGCGCAGGAAAGTTAGAGCAGGGAAGAGCTCAGAAGTGGGCGTGTGTGTGTGTTAACAGGGTGGAAACCCCACCAGCTAAGTCTGTACACACACACACACACACACACACACACACACACACACACACACACACACAAATAAATGAAGTCTGCCTATCTGGGACCGGAGCCCCTCCCCTCGTCCCGCGCAAAGGAGTGTGACCCAAAAGCCGCTTCCTCTGGCTGGTGAGCGGGTCAGGACCAGGCCCGTGAGACCCTCCGCAGCTCCACTCGGCTCCTCCACCGCTGACTGGCCCCGCCCCGCCCTATCCACGATGAACAACCACACCACCCCTTTGCCTAACGACCACCACCGTGAGTACTCGCCGCAGGGAGGGGTCCCCGCGGTCCGGGACCAACTCCAGCCAGGGCCACCAGAGGAAGAGGGGCCGAGGACACAGGTCTCTGGCCGCGCCCCGCCCCCCGCCTCTGTGGTTGATCTGCCTGCCGGGTTCAGTCCGGAACACTCGCGCCTTCCCAGGGCTCAAAGCACCTAGGTCCCGTGGAGTCTTAGTCTGGTTCCCGTTGGGTCCCCGCCCTACCCACACCCCCAACCCTAACCCTAGAACTGTGCTGAGAGATTCCAACACCTGCTCACAGGATCTGCGCCGCCCGAGCCACCAACCCCGACGCCCCGGGCAATATGACCCCCACCCCCACCCCGCTCTCCCACCGTTGGACCCTTGGGACCCTCAAGCGCGGCTTGTACACCGTGGGCCTGCCTGGAGGGGCTTCCTCGCACCTCCGCTATCACGTCTGCTCGCTGCATTTCTTTGCACGCTGGCCGAAAAGTATCTGTGGCAAAAACTTTTACTGAAAGAAGGAGGAGAGGTAGAGCGTTAAGCAGCCCGGAAACAACTGTCAGAAGCTGATGCAGGGGGCAAGGGGTGCTTCGGCGAAAACACCAAGCACCATCCCTCTGCTTGTTCTCAGGCCGGCTGGATTTGGGAAGGGATGCACAGATAGTTTGTCATTCTTTATGCTCTGTTTCTTTTCGAAACGCTCACTTTTTGTTGTTGAGAGGAAATTATACACCCTGAGGTTCATTGGGAGGCTGTTCAGAAACATTGCTGGGCCCTCCCACCCCCTCTTCTGGGCTTTGCAATCAAAAACTAAAATTATATTCATAAAAGAAATGAATGTTTATTCTTCTTACCTCCATCCTGGTTATGTCATCAGAAACAATGAGAGAATAGACATTCTGATTCGATGATACAATCATGTTAGATAATTAATATGTAATAATATGGGTATTCATGACACCAACTTGTTTTATACCTAAAACATGCACTTGTTTTAGGTCTTTAAAACCCAACCAGGGTTGTTGGGAGGCCATGCAGGTGAACTCCAAGTGCATGATTGTGGCTAGGCCTGTGTCTGGGTACCGTGTGCCTCCTTGTGCACTTGTGTGGCTCACTGGGTCTGGATATGCAGACTGGAGTCACAGAGTGGGGGCCTGGCTGCCTGTATTAGGATCATGTGTGCCGCTTATTAGGCAAGGACTGAGGCAAGCCTTAGCTGCAATTTTATCTGCTGCAAAACAGGATTATAAGGTATTCCACATTGGGTTGTGAGAATTCAGTATGTGAAAATGGCTCAGCACAGAGATAGAAACACACTAGGTGTGAGCTAAATGTTAGGCATCTTTGTTTTACTTGAGACTATGGATCTGTTAGTTCATGTGTGTTAATGTGTTTGCATGTGTGTCTGTTACTGTGTGTGGGTCAAGACACTACTGAACTCAGGTATGTGTGTTGGGTGGGGTGGTATCGTTGATGGGACAGAACCATTGTAAGCATTCCAGTTCAGGTGCTGAGAAAGTTCAGGCCTGCCCACATTCCCTGTCTCCTTGGACCAGCCTTGCCATCCCCAGAGCCTTACCCCTGCTCCCTCCCCCAGCAGTTCTCTGGGATTCAATGACTGAAAGCACTACCCTTTTGGAACTAATAGGGATGCAGCCCATACTTGCACACCATTCCAGATTACCCTTAGGACTTGATTTATGGCAGGGTCTCTGCTATGAGAGAACCATGAGGCCCTATTTCTCGCTGCTAACCCAGGCAGGATGTTTCAGTTTACATCACTGTTCATCAGAACCAGAGATTAGAATGGAAAGGACCCACTGCTCCCCGCCTAGGCCAGGCCTGCCCTATGCAGCTAGGCCCTCATAAGGGCCCTCATAAGTCCAAAGGCCACAGTTATTGCAAATGAGTTCCATCCATTGTCTTGCCTTTGAATGAAAGAGGTCAGTGCTCAGTAAGGAGATGGCCAGGTTTGGCAGCCTTATATAGAATCTGCTGCCTCTGACAGAGCAGAAAGTATTGCATCAAGTGCCAAATGGAATTCCATTTGAGACATTGTTCAACCTCTACAGGTACTGGTGGAGTAGCATTGGCACAGTAAGTATCTGGGCCTTTCCAGTGGTGCCATGTCTGGGCAGTTATTTTTGGGACTTGCAGCATATCCTGGGAAACAGAGGTGTGTGAGGTAAGAGGCAATCTATGTTTGTAGTGGGAACAACACATCAGCCAGTCTACACTGAGTAGGAAGAGGCCCCTCATCAGTCAAGCAAGGGGAGGTTGACAAGTCAAGTCTGCTTGCCTCTTTGGGTAGCAGATACTCTTCTGAGATCCCAACTGAAACACCTTCTTGGAACTGAGCAAACACAATGGGCCCAACAAGCATGAACTAAAAACAAAAATAAACAACTTTGAACAATGAATGAAGAGTTAATAATAGGAAAGAGGAAGACACCTTCTGACCTCCTCAAGGGCAGGTACTTTACTGACTTATGAGAATCCTTTTAGAAGTATTCTATGTATATACAATTACTTTTTATTTTATAAAATGAAATTTATTTTATGTATTTTACTTCATCTTGCTTTTTTCCCTTAAGAATATATTGTAAAGATTATACCAGTTTCTACTCAAATGGGCATTTAGGTTGTATACAGCCTTTATTTGATTCTTTTCTAACCAGACAGAGTACTAACATGACAGCCCCTGTAAGAAAATTTTTACATGCATGTGTACAAATACTTTTAGGATAAATTCCCCCCAGAATTTAATTTCTGAAACAAAGAATGTGCACCTTCAAAACGTTAAATCCCCTTCCAAAAGGTCACATGATTACTGATGCTTACCAATAGCCAATAAAAGTTGCTATTTCCCCACATTCTTGGTCACACTGTTTAGTTTTTATCCTGGCCAATCTGATGAGTAAAACACATTGTCACTTTTGACTGTACCTCTATAGTTATGAGTGAAGCTAGGGAAAATTTTTGTAGCTCTAGAAGATAATGTAGTTCTTTTTCTGGGAAAGTACCACTTTCTGGCCTTTGTCCATTTTCTGTCAGGTCCCTGCCTCCTATGGGAAACACACCCCAGATAATGGCATGTCCTCCCTCCCATGGCAAGCTAGAGGCAGAGCAGGGACCCCAGTCCCACACATGCTGTGGAGTCACCCTTGGTTTGATCCCACCTCCAACACTTACTGTCTTTGGGAAGGTATACAATACCTCAGAGCCTCAGTTTTCTCATCTGTACATGGGAGTAATAACAGCTGCTTCAAAGGAATCACATAAGAATAAAGGCTTGGCACCACGCCCAGAAATAGTGGCATCTCTGGCTGTTGTTAACTGACTTTATCAGTGAAAACCCAGCCTGCAGGTGCTGGTAATCTCCTTCTCTTGCAGACAGCTGCTATTTTGTCTTTGACAGTGTAGCAATAATGACAGCAGCAGCACCTATATGTCAAGCCCTGTGGTGGGCCTTTCCCTGGTCACCCTCCACAGCTTGGTCTCATGGGCATTTTCTTAGCTGTTTTGCAGATGAAACACTCAAGGGGATGACCTTACTCCAAGGTTCCCAAGTACTGAGGCCTCAGCCAGGCTGTGAACACAGGCTGCAGACACCAGAGCTTCAGAGGCCAAACTGAGAGGGCCATAGGGTACATGTGGACCTGCTGCCCCTGTCCCTGTGTACCAGGTGAGGCTTTCTGCTGTCCTCCCACTGTGGGACCTGCACCTGGGACATCACTGCTCTAGCTTTGCAATCAGAGGGATTGTGTGTGGCACAGACATTCAGAACCTGCCAAATAACTCATGGCTTTTCACCCAGTCCTGTGGTCCCTTGGTTCACCACTGCCAGCCATCACTCCCTCTCTTGTGGTCAGGCCTGACCCACATCCAACCAGTTGCAGCTTTCCACCCTGCCTTGCACAGCCAGCTCAGGCTGGCCCTGGAGACTCCTCTCATTGTTCTTCCTCATGTCTGCACTGTCCTGCCTCTCCAGCTTCACTTTCACAACTGCCTGCTTCACCCTCCCCACCCCCATAAACATGTCCACATGCACTGTCTTCCTGGTTCATACCTGCTTGTCAGTTTAGGCCTAGTTTATGCATTCCCACCTCCTTGGGCCCTTCTGACACTAGAAAGCCACCCACCATGGTCCTGGGGACACTTTTGAGCCCTGACAGATTCCTGGGTCTGCCCCCTTTACATGATTCAGACCTTCCAAGGGTCTCTGTGACCTCCCTCCCTCCTGCGTGAGGACTGGCCCAGGTTAGTGCTCAGGGAGTGACTTGGAAATGAATGGATAACTGCAGAGGTGACCTAAAGGCCAAAGCTCCCAGGCCTATGTCCATTCCAAATGCCAGAACACCTTTTACCTACTCTAGAACTTGGCACATTCATGGAGGTTAGTAAATAATAAATTGAAACAGACAAAGTCAAACCAAAATGGACTCTACAAACATGGCTGATGGGCCCCAGCAGTCACCACCTAGCCCTCCTTCCCACTCAGTATTAAGTCCTATTTCATGTTCTCCCTCCCTGCCCCTCCTCTCTCTGCCTCCCTCACAAGCCCCAACTTTGCTTAAGATGTCATTCAGATTCTTGTGTAATCTGAACTTCTGAGGGAATGCTGGCTCCTGCCCTTATGAATGCTCATTATTATGAATGCTCATTTTTGTACATTCTTCAAGAACAAATGTTAGTGTGCAAATGAAAGGTGCTGGCAAGAGCCAGTTTCCTTCCATGCTAACGAGAGATGGAGCCCAGGTCACTGAGTCCATCACTGGTGGGGCAGGTTCAGCATGGCCTCTGCACCACTCCCCCCACCCGCCCCCAAAGCCACAGAGCCTTTGTGGTTATCACCACCTCACAGATGTGCCACTGGGCCTAAGCAGATGGGACTGCCCTGCCTAGGGAAAATGGCTGAGCAATACTTGCTGCCACCTGTCTGGCTCTGAAGCCTTGCTCTTCCTCTGGCCAGACATCTTTACCACCTCTCATAATGACTTTTTAATATTGGCA